ATATTACAACCGAATGCATGTGAAAACTAGATTGTCCCAATCTATATTGTCAAAGATTGTCTGTTGAAGTAATACCATTACTCTTAAATTTAACTTAATTCAACTTGTAGACATCATGAAGCTGTGTACGCAGTTATATTTTCATGATTTCTTCACCTCTTGTAAGTCTTCTAGCAATTTCATTGTACACGGATAATTTTCGTGTACTGTGTTATACAATGTTTGCGTATGCGTGTGTTAGGAAATAGCTAAAATCCGGCTGAAACATCGCGTATATTTAAAATCAGATTTAAAGGCTTGTAGTGCTACATTTTAGTCACAATTCATTGAATTCCATGCATGGTAACAGAATTGGAACTCTATTTAAAGAAAATTGACAACTCAGCCATCTTGTTAGTATAACTAAGCGCGTATATGTGACAATAGACGGTTTTAGATAACAAGACGCGGACGTCAAGAGGACGTGAAAATGACGAATGCACCTCGCGTTCACTTCCGGGTTTTAATCAGGGACGGCTTGTTTGTCTTTTTCGAAGCAAATTTTTGTTTTCTTGTTACCTGTTCATTCCTGTATTGTTTTCAATCAGTTGTCAAGATATGTGCAAGAAAAGGTTATATAATACTGGCCAAGTGTTTCCTGACGAATTAGGAACATTCAATAAGTTTTTTTTTTAGAAAAAAACGTATATTTCAATAGTTTGAAAAGTGAACTTTGTTGCTTCATTTGAAATAAATACAGGCATTGTTTACGAGCTAAATGCTTTATTGTAGCCTATTCAATCAAGTTTGTCAACCGTTCAGTATAAATATAGCATCAGTGTTTATATTGGTAAAATTTAATACTGTTTACGATAGTTTTTCACGCTGGAAAGCGTTTTTTTTGCATGTCCTACTTTTTGCACTGTTGTGACAGAGCAACTAAAATTGATCGAGTTTTTACTGCTTTTAAGTGCTTTTATTTTTCTATTTCCCCACGTTTTCCTGATTTTAAACAGTTGTCAATATAACTTCAGTTTAGTTTGTTCAAAAATATTTGTTTTGGCGAAGATTACTAGCGGTATTGAAGTGGTTATTAACAATGTTCGCAGTTTTGTTGATTTGTTTATGGCGACCGAAAGTGTTTGCCGAAAATCAACTCGTCTAAAATTTAGCGAAATACAAAAAAAAACAAACCTCGTCAATGGAAAAACTTTAGCTAGTATCATTAAACAATACATGGGGAACAAAATAGGATGATTTTTATTATGTATAGTCTCATATTTTTTTTAAAAGAAGCAAAAATCTGTGGTAGACGTTCTAGAGAGGACGTGAAAATTGTATTTTCGCGTCGTGAAATCGTCCAGGACGACGTCGCAAACCAGAAGCTGACGACAGTTGGCGCCATATGACGACATCCACGTCCTCTTGACGTCCGCGTCTTCTTATCTAAAACCGTCTAGTAATCAAAATGAGGGAGAATGATAGAAGTGTATAAGTCAACTAGCGTGTTAACTGACACCAGATCACGAATGCGTCTTACATTCCTAGGCCTTTGGATACTTATTTGGATATTTAATTTACGTGCTCTTCCCACGATAATCATCAATCATAGGCCCCAGGGATTTTGTTACAACTACTCGATTTAAGCGGTGTCCTCCCATAAATATCTTAGAATCTGATGTCAACTTATTTATTCGGACTTTCGAGCCAATTAACATATACTCGTTCTTTAAGACGTTTAAACTTAGTCTATTTGCTTGCAGCCATCTATACATGATATCTAGATCTTTATTAAGTACGTCTTCAAATTTATTAATATTTGCATGATCATCAGCCAGGTATGCAAATCATTTATGTATTAATATACAGCGGTCCAAGAATAGAGCCCTGTGGAGTCCGCATGATATTATTTGGCCCAGTGCCTGAATGAACTCCATTGACATGGCAGCATTGAGTCTTGTTCGATATATCTTCAGTAATTCGATAACCCATTAATTTGTTTAACAGAATGCTATGGTCCACAGTATCAAATGCATTTTTCAAATCTATAAAAACTACTATGCCAATGTCCCCTTTGTCCATATGTTTGTACCAGTACATCACAGATTTATGCAAGGCACTTTCTGTAGAATGATTAGGACGAAAACCTGATTGATTATCAGAAAATATATTTTCCTTCGCTTTTCTAAAATTTTTGAAACAACAGGAAGCACAGAAAAAGGCCTATAATTACTTCTGTCTTTTCTATCACCAGTTTTAAAAACTGGCGACACCTTGGCCACTTGGGAATGTGCCAGTCTTTAAAGATACATTGCAAATGGTCGCTAGTGCATGATTCTGAAATAATCGGAGATGCAATTTTTAAAAAGTTTTGTAGGAAGTTTATCAATTCCTGAAGCTTTAGTTGCTGCTAGTTTAATTATAGCAATCAAAACCTCGCTAGGTTCAGTTGTTTTGAAAGTATAAATAGTGCTTCTTTCAGGTATGAACTTTTCCGGCTGATCTTGGATAGGTGGAATTTGATGCGCTAAATCATGTCCGACATTTATGAAATGTTTATTGAACAATTCAGCTATTTCACTGGGTTGTGTATAATTAATACCATTAACCTTGATACTCTTAATTATAGTATTTTTTAATGTTTTGCCTAGCATGCTATTTATTATCTTCCAAGTTGCTTTTGAGTTACCTTTACTTGTATTAATATTCGGAATATAATAATTTCGCTTAGCTTCCCGAATTTTATTGTTTGTTTTATTCCGTGCTTTTTGGTAAAGCTCCCAATTTAGTTTTAGTCGGCCAACTACTTGTAAGATCTATTTATAAAGTTCTTATTGGCAAATGTGATAGGTCAGTGTTTAATGCTTCAATAAATGTTTAATTTAAAATGTACTCATCTTCTCGATATATTTTTAACTACCATTAACTAATACAATTTGATAATACAATTAAGAATAATACAATTTAGAATTAATTAATACAACTTTATTCAAATGGTAACGGTTGGCAAGCGGTTGGAATATGTATATCAACATTGCAATCTTGTGACTAAAATAAAACAATGACGTTAGCTTAACATTTTGATCAAACACGTATTTCCAGTTCACTAGTGGACTGGCCACTCAAAAACATATGGAAAACAGGCGATTTTCACGCCCACCCTTTTCTTCACCCGCGTGCAATTCTCCCGTCCTAATTTTCCCGCACTCAAATCGTCCCCCAAAAAACCGCTTGCTGCGCAGGCTACAAATATCATTGAGAAGGTTGTATACAATCAACTAAATTATTATTATTATTATTATTATTATTATCTTTATTATTATCATTATTATTATTATTTTATTTATTTTATTATTATTATTCATCTTATTTAAGAACGGTAGCCCTTCAGACTAAACTGATTTTCAAGGGCCGTTAGAATATTTACAAATATGAAAAATCTATTATACATACTAACTACATAAAAAAGAAAGCCCATGCAGTGAACACTATACATAACTTAGAATGAATCATATATATAACTAGAAATAGTATGTTATATTAACCCTCCCAGACCCAAAAATTACTCATTCGAATCAAAATCCGCCCCACAAGTGGTTGTCACCCACTATTCCTCTCCAAATTGGTGAAATAGTTGTCGATTAAAGTTTTGAAGTTACTTATGGAGAGCTCTTTGTAGTTGTTGGTAACATCATTTGGAAGATTTTTCCATGATGCAGCACCTCGATATGAAAACGATTTCTTCAAGAAGTTATTACTTCTTAACGGGTACATATCATTTAGGCAAATTTTAAAGATGTACATGTTGGTCATACATTCTGACAGTTGGCCTTGTAAGGCCTTAAATGTCATTATCATTTCTCCTTTCTTAAGAGTGGTTTCAATTGGTTCCCAGTGTAAGATATTAAATATACCTTTCGATCTTACTTCGTAAGTTGACCCTGTAATAATTCGAGCCGCTCGTTTTTGCATTTTTAAAAGCTTGTCTGTATGTGTACGACTGCCGTCATTCCACACGTTGGTGCAATAGGTATAGCGAGGTAAGTCTAGTGAGTTGTACATGTTAATTAACACGTTTTGGTTAACAAATCGTTTGGCTCGTATTAGTAAGGCAATGCTCTTGGATAGTTTTTTGCATTGAAGATCATTGTGTTTATGCCATCTCAGTTCATCGTCTAAAGTAATTCCCAGTACTTTCTTGTTGGTTACCTGTTTGATGTTATGATTACCAATCAGTATACATGGGTCATATGAAAATTGTTTCAATTTTCGTTTAGAGGCTATTAGCATAAATTCAGTTTTCTTAAGTTTAAAGTAAGCTTGTTTGCTATTAACCAGTTACTGACATTATACAAATCGTTGTTTAGTTTCACTTCTATGTCCGCAGGTGAATTACCAATGCTTGATATATATTTGTGTTATCTGCAAACATAGATGCCTCTGTTTGTTTGAGACAGTTAGGAAGATCGTTTATATACAATGAGAATAATAACGGTCCTAAGTTTGATTCCTGTGGGACTCCGCACCTTATTTTTTTCAGATGGGAATTTGTACCTTGGACTGTACATAATTGACTCCTATTGGTTAAGTACGATTTGAAGAAGTTAAGGGCTACACCTTGAACTCCATATAGTTCAAGTTTAGCAAGAAGGATTTTGTGATCGACTGTATCGAATGCCTTTTTGAGATCAAGAAACAAGAAACCATTTATTAAGCATCTATCCATATTCATTAAATATTCATTGGTTGTTTGCAAGAGAGCAGTTTCAGTAGAGTGATATTTACGGAAGCCAGATTGGCGTTTTGTGATTATTTTGTTGTTGTAGCTGAAGCGATTCGGCTCTCAAGATCTATCACCGACTTTCAAGAGGTGTCGTGGCTTCTGTATAGACTATTTTACTGAATTCGCGTAGACTTTGTCGTTAGTTGTATAATTTGAATTCGTAAACTACAAAGTTAATGCAATAAATATTAGATTAAGCTAAGCTAAAATCAAATAAAATCATGTTCAATTTCTAACTAGATAACTTACATATTTGTCCAATGTTTAAACTGCTTCGAAAGGTTGTTCATACGTCTAATTCTCAATTCCTAATAACTAAGTTCGGCGTGTCACATCTTAGCACATGCACTACAATTTGAATGACTAATTATGCTAATATATACATTTACATGGCTCCTCTGAAATCGCCGATTTCACTACAAGATTTTTTTTAACGTTTTTCTTTTTAAATAAAAGTTGCTAATAATTTAGGTAATTGAATGTATCTCTGAAATGTACGTTATGGCTCCTCGACGGGGACGGACTCCGCGTCTTGACCTTCACCTTCAACAAGCAATATCAATTTATCAATTGGTCGTTCCAAACGTCTTTGTGACCTTGTCCGTACTCCTTTGCTATCTAAAAAACCGTCTGCTTTGGCCAACATCACGGTACGCACATATCCATCTTTGCTTCTATTCGTTCTAATAACGCGAGCGAGTTCCCATAAATTCCTTGGTAAATTTGATTCCTTGACGAGGACAATATCACCAACACCCAAATCTTTGCGTGGCTTGCACCACTTCTGCCGCGCTTGAAGACTAAGCAAGAATTCTTTCCTCCATCTCGACCAAAACTCATTAGCCAAATGTTGTACTCTTCTCCAACGTTTTCTCGAGTATCTATCGGGCGACTGAAAAACACCAGGTGGTGGAAGGATTACTCTACTTTTCATAGTTAGAAGGTGACTTGGCGTTAACGGTTGAAGTGAATCAGGATCATTTAAATCATTTACGGTCAACGGACGACTGTTAACGATGGCTTCCGTTTCACACATCAGAGTTCTCAATGACTCATCATCAAGTTGAGATCCATTACTTTGTAATAATGCAGAAAGTACACTACGTACTGTCCTAATTTGTCTTTCCCACACGCCACCCATGTGGCTAGCGGAAAGAACATTAAATTTAAACTCTATCCAATCACAATTCCTCTTCAGTAATTCCGTTGTTATATTTGCATAATTGAATTCGGTCAAAGCCTGTTTAAGTTCTTTACTTGCTCCAACGAAGTTCGTACCTCGATCACTCCTGATCTGGCGAACTGGTCCCCTTCGACATATGAACCTACGTAAGGCGTTAATAAATGAGTCGGTCTCCATTGTAGCAGAGGTTTCTAGATGTATGGCCCTGGATGACATACATGTGAAGAGCACACCGTATCTTTTAACTTCTTTTCTTCGTTCCTTTATGTACCAGGGACCAAAAAAGTCAACAGCGCAATAAGTAAAAGGAGGTGCTGGTTCCAAACGATCTTCTGGAAGATTGGCCATTTTCTGACTTTCAGCTGATCTTCGTAACTTCCGACAAAGAAAACACTTGGAAATGTAACTACCAACAGCGGAAACACCATTAATGATCCAATATCCATTCGATCGTATTTCATTGAGAGTCATTCCTCTTCCCTGATGACCAACTTGCTCATGGTAGTATCTTATGATAAGAGTGGTGATATGACTAGCCTTCGGTAGGAT